CCACTATCCCATGTTCTAAATAGGACTAAAAGCATACATCATATTGTGTGTTGGCAAGTTATGTTACATTACTGTCATCTTTTATTTCTTTGCTTTTAGGGTGAAACTGAAGTAGATTTTTACTCCTGTCCAACCCAATGTCACTACAAAGTTATCAAATTCAGGTGCCTGGTCAGTGACTTCCGGCGTCAGACACCCACGAAAAAGCCATCCTTCCACATACAAGGTGACATGGGGAAATGCAGCTGGACAACAATGTAAGTTAAAGGGGTGAAAGTTTGAGTAGGGTGGGTGGGAGGAGTGGCAGATGGAATATTTTCACCACTTTACCTTGCTGTTAGACCGCCCTTTCCAACAGGGAAGTGAAGCTGTTATCCATCTCCGTTATCCTCTCTTCAGAGCCACCAGACTCCCTTGACAAAAACAGCAATTTTACCTTGCAGGACACTGGAGTTGCTGGTCTACTGCTGCCTCGATCAGATAGTTAGTTTGTGTTATTGTTTGACTTTGGTGAATCTGACCTCACCCTGTCAAACACTAAAGTTACTCAATAACACAAATAAATTAACCAACCAAGGCAGTAGTAGACCAGCAACTCCTGTGTTCTTCGAGGTGTTTTTGTCAAAGGAGTCTGGTTGCTTTGTAGAGAGCATGGATGGAGATAACAGCTTCAGTACCCCATCAGAAAGGGCTGTCTGAAAAAAACTGGAACTATCCCTTTGAAGTCTTCAGATACACTAAGGTTCTGCTAGTGGGATGAAACAATGGTGTTTCCAAGGGAACTCAACTTGCATACATCATTAAAAATTAGCTATGATTTTGCCTTTGCAAAACATTTTTATAAAAAATTATTTTGGGATTGTTTGCCATTATTTAGAACAGCTGAAGATAGACAGAAACTGGGGGAGATAGAGAGAAGGGACTGCATGCAGCAAAGGACCACGGGTCAGAATCGAACCCTGGCCCCTGATAAGAACTCAGCTTTAACCTCTGCAACAGGACATTTTGATTGTTCTTTTAGATATTGATGAGCAACTATCTCTCTTATGTCATTTTACAAAACAGCCTGGAGAGCCTCTGTTTATGGTTAACTTCCAAATAAGTTAAAACTTTATTCTTGCTGAAAGTACAGTAAGAGCCCACCTCTACGGTAAGAGCAGAAAATGTATGAGCAGGAAACGGCTCTTACCTTGATGAGTTGGGGTGAAAAGAGGACAGCCGGTGGGTGCTGTTACTATAACGGAGGCATTGTATTCCTGCTCCAGCCTCTGATTGAACACCTCCATATGGAGAAGATTCAGGAAGCCAAGTCTGTAGGGGCACGGGGAGGTGCACAGGTTCACTTAAGTTTTATAATTGATACTGATGCTTTTAATTACAAAGAGCCTGTTTGGAATGAATTCAACAGCAAGTACGAGTCATTGCTATTCCAGTGCAGCTTCATACTTCCCAATGGTCTAAATCACTGCCACTAATGGAATCAAATTCATTTTTATCATCTGGACTAACATGACCTATGATGATACATAAACTCTTACTTGGCTGTCTGTTTTGGCAACATACAGTATGTATTAAGTTGTTTATTCCCTTATTAATCATATCATATGATGTCAAGGTTGTGTAGAAAATGAGGAAAGAAGCCTTTAAGAACTTTTCTGCAACAGTAAATTACTTGAAACTTTGGTGGTTGCACTGCTCCATGTCCACACTTTTGTTTGATTTGCTGTAACATTAGTGACCCACTCCCCTGTTGTTGTCTTAAGAGCCATTTTTCATTCTAATTCGTCTTCACCTCCAGCCTGCTCCCAGGGCCAGACTGCTGTCTCTCTGCACTGTGACACTTGAGTCATTCAGGGTCAGCCTCTCAATGGCGCTGCGAAGGCCCACGTATTCTGACTGGTCCATGGGATACATGCCTGAGGGACAGAGAACAAGACAGAGTGCACATCTTCAGCAAAAAGGACTTTTTCATGTACTGTGGAGAGCAGGTGCTGTACTAACTAGTGGAACACAACATCCTCTGAAGGGGTTTTACATTTGAAATGTCCAGTGAAAGTGGACTATTTACAGACATCATTGTACTGAATAATTATGGTGATGCATGTGGTATTTAAAAGAATAGTGTCCTCCATTCCAGTTCTTATTCCAAATTTTCAGAGACTTTTATGGGACAGCAGGAGGCAGCTGCAGATGGTAAAAACTTGAAGAGCTTCCACAGTAGGGTGACCATATTTTGATTTCCAAAGAGAGGACACTCGGCCTGGCCACGGGATGATACTCGCAGTTTACTCAACGATGCCTTATAATTTTAATATATTTAAAGTTTATATATATATATATATATATCTATATGGATAGAAAATTCAGTTATATTACAAAATAATATCTCTCAAAGACAGAAATTCAGATAGGCCCCTATAGATAGGGCACACATACACACACTAGAGTGTTGCTACCCGATCCGAGCCCGACAGGTCCCGACGGTAGGCCTACCCGACGGATCAGGCCGGGTTCGGTCAAAAATGTATAAACTGTTTTCGGGCTCAGGTCGGATTCAGTCAGCTTTCAGTGAAAATGTTATTTACGTGACAACACCTGAACATAACACACACATACACATTGGCTGTTTGTTTCTACCTCTCTGCCGCCCGCCTCCGCCTTGATTAAATGCTGAAAATAAAATAAAAGAGGGAAACAGGTTTTTCCTATTTTATCTTATTTTGTTAGGCTATATTTCTTCCTCTCCCCTCGCTGGAAGCCTCGGACCTCCCGCTGCCCGCTCCCGTCTCAAACACGGAGGTCTCCGTCTCCGCGGAGCACCCACGGCGAACGGCTGGCCTGTTAAATAGCCTGTAACCATAACAACTGTGTGACACAAATTCAGTGCTTTAGTAATTAAATAATGTCTGGCTCGATTCGGTTTCTGACATAACAACAGAATGACTGTTGGGTTCGGAAAGGAAAACCGGACATTATCATCAATTTATAAACATCCCCCGGACGCCCCGGACAGGACGTGAAAAGTGGACATGTCTGGGCAAAAGAGGACGTTTGGTCAGCCTATTCCACAGGCTGCACCTGAGGGTGGAGTATGTCACCAATATGAAACTCCTTCACATCCTTCATCTCTGCTATTATTGACATAGGTGCAGATCCTTCCAGTCACCTATCTGTCAGGTCTGCTAAATTGTACTAAATTTAGGCTCCGCTGCCTATTTTGCAAGTCTTTTGGCTTTGGAGAGTGGTGGCGTGTGGCTGAGAGTCACTCACTGGGATGAAGACATCAACTCCCCAGGCAACGTTGAGTTAAGCCTAGTTCACATTACACGATTTTCACCGCGATTTTGACGTCGCAGAGGATCTTGAGAGCCACTTTGGGTCGGAGGTGAGTCGGCAGATAGTCTGACTCGACGACTCCTCATGTGTGAACAAGCCTACGAGCAAGTCGCCCCCTCGTCTGTGACTGGGACTTGGACTAGATATCTGGCATGCTAGAAAACTGGAGAAGTGTGACATGACTGACAAAGGGCACGTCAGTCCCACGTCAGCATGCAGGATGATGGAAGAAATGTGAGGAGGACAAGCAGCAGGGTTGCTACTTGCCAGGTCCACTTATTAGCCGCGACTTTGGGCTTGTTTCTAAAGTGGAGTTGCTTATTTGGGCTTGCTCTCTAAACGTCACCTTTCTCTATATATATCCGTCTTATGAGTTATTTATACGCATGATAGTCGCTTCTTTTGGGCTTGTCTCCATAGCCCTGGTTGCTTGTTTCTCTCCCAAGATCTGGCAACACTGACAAGCCGGCAAGCAACAACAACTATGGCGGCATCCACAGGATCATGGAGTGCATAGTGTTTTGACCCAGGCCCTGGAGGCAGATCTGATTCAACACTGGGAAGAATACCCATGCCTTTATGATGTGTCGTCTCCAAGTTAAAAAACGTACTTTGGTGACGTCACTGTGTTATCTGGGGCTCTGTCGGCGAGGGCTCGGTGGAGAAATCTTGTGGTGTGCACACACAGGTCGTAACGCCATTGGCGAGACTCCCGCTGACAGAAACACAACCCTGTCCGTGCCTTTATTATTCTATCTTATTTTTTACTGTTGTGTGTTTTATTTTGTTATTCACGCATAAAGGTTTTACTGTAGCAATTCTGGCTTACTGCTGTTTTCTGCTGCAGGCTACACTCTAAAAAGTAAGATGACTAATTCATTTATACATAATATGTTGCAAAAAATGCACACATTCAACACTCAACCACAATATACAGAGTGGTTTATGGTAAAATGACTCTAAATTATATAAAAAACCCAATGCATTTCCTATTGTTTATTGTATGCAGGTATTGCAGGTAGTATTTTGATAGAGTTCATGTACATAGAGAAAGGTTTTTTATAATTTGAAATGTAGAGTTGGTATTTAATGAACAAATTGTGGTTTTAAGCAGAAAATTGATGAATTGGCTAGTTTTAAGAGGCAGGTAGAAAGGTAAAAAGTATCTTACGAAAAAGTTTAGGTTAACACTTGTTAGCAATTGTAAAACTATTGATTTTATGTAGCAAATATGACAAATTTGCCTCAAAAGGCTTCACAATCTGAACAGCATATGACACCCTCTGTCCTTAGACCCTATGTATGGATGAGGAGAATCTCCACAGAGGTGGGATCCTTTCCCAGGACGGATAGACAGGCAATAAATGTCAATGTGAACAGAACAGACCAACAAGTAAAGTCACAGTATGGACATTAAGAATGACAAAGTAATAGACATGTTGTAAATGATTATGAATGTATATTTTGGACAGTGATTACAACAATATAAAAATATATAACTATACATATTTAATTTATATATACATATATATGAACAGTATAATAAATAAATAAATAAATAAATAAATAAATAGATAGATAGATAAATAAACAAATAGATAGCTGAATAATAAATAAATAAAGAAAGAAAGAAAGAAAGAAAGAAATAATATTTCAGATGTCCTCTATTTCTTGGCCTTCTTTAAGATCTTGTCCAGTGATGGTCTTTCATTTACGGGAACGATCTTTGTCCACAGTTTGATGAAGTCCTTGTGGTCGGCCAATTTTAAGAGTACTATCTGTCCATGGTGCCTGTGGAGGAAGACATTTCTCATTTAGCTCAGTATTCAGAAAAATTAAATTATGACTTGTGGAAACACTGAACGAAGAAACAGGAGCTACAAGATCACAAGATTGTGCAAAATGTTACACTAAATCTAAAGAACTTGATAACTCACCTCACTTCTGGTGCACCATCGATACACATCTTGGAGACAGCAAGAAGGAAGCGCTCTGTGAGTGTCCTTCCTGCTGTCAAGATGCGAGCTGCTCCCAGGCTGTCAGCCAGCTGGTGCAGATGTTGAGCCATGCTGCCTCTGACTGCAGCACATCGTTGGCTGAGGAGGGACAAAGACAGGGGAATATGAGACACTATGTTTCATTATCCTATTTAACTTTGTTTTAAGGTTTTTGCTGATAAAATAAACCTCTTCTCTCCTCTTACCTCAGGCCTGCGTTCAAAAGAGCGCTCACAATGCGACCATGGCTGCAGTTGTCTACCAGGGCGTCGAGAGCAAGATTAGCCTGCTGGTGAATGAAGGCACTTGTTGTCTGTGCCAGTTTCAGCAGCAAGGCTCGGCCTGTTCCCTCTGCCTCTGGGTCCATGGCCTTTCGAAGGTGAACGTACAGCTCTGCCAAGGTGTCCATTGCTTCACAGGCAACGGCTGAGCGTAAGTTGTTCACCTGTATAGTGAGAATAAACATCATCAAACATCAAAGCTGTAGTGTGCACACTCATAGACACATGTTGGCAAATGAAAATGCATGAATATAGATAGAAAGAGGAAAGTGTGTACAATACCTCCTCGATGAGAACCAGACACACTTCATGCAGTTTTGTCCTCAGTGTGTCTGGGTGGTGCTGTGCAAGAGCCTGAATGATTTTCAAGCCGTCGATTTTCTTCTCCCTGTATGTTAAAATGTAAAGTATAATTAACCTCATAAAATTTACTGTTATCAACTTGTACTGGCTCCATATTGATGTGACACTGACAGGCTTCATGTCAAACTAGTTGCAACATGACTGACTTAAGATTAAACATTTGTTGAGCTGGTACAACAGACTGCTCTGTGTTGTCGGTGTCTTACCAGTCATCTAAAGAGAGCAGCTTGAAACAGGCAGACAGGCTCTGCACAGGGTCGGTCAACGGCTGTAGCTCCGTGTTCTTGACCTTTTTATCCTTTGCAGCATTAGGGCTGCAGTCGGTGGTTGTGTCCTTGCCTGGTAAAAAGCAAAACAGTCTTTACTCACATGTCCTGTCATTCATAGCACTGTACTCACAGTAGCTATTAAAATTCTTTACAGAAAACTATAAGAAACCCATGAGTGCAGTTCACAGCTTCGACTACAATTATTCAGCCATTTATTACCTGCCACGCTGACGGCTTTTGCGGGACGCAGGGCCACCCCGGGTCGAGTCCCTTGTTTCTGGGCCTGGGGAACTCTTGGAGGGGTGGGAGCCAAAGGCGTCTCCACAGGGATTGCTGTCGGAGCAGGTGCAGGGCGTGTCATGGTAGGTGGTGCAGGGACCCTTTTGGGTGCCACTGCAGGGGTCGTCTTTGGAGCTGCTGGAGGTCGAGGTGAAGGGATGGAGGCGAGCTGGAGGCATTTCAATCTCTCCACAAAAGCCTCAACTTTCCCTTTAGCCGATTGTAGCCTACATCCATCGGCTACCTCTTTCTCTGTTAGGGCAAAAAAAGGATCACATACATTTCGACTGTTCTCATACCCAATGAGTAACTTAGATGTAAGTGTTGTACTTGTAATAAAGTGTTTTAATATTTGAGATGATGCCCAATGATTTAGCATAAAATCCCCATGCTGTTTGAGTCTAACAGGAACATAAACAACCAGAAGAAACAGCAGGTGTTCCCACAAAAGCTAACCTGTCCCTAAAAGAGTTTGTCTTGAGGAACTGACCTGCTCCACTGTGTTTGGCTGAAAGCACAGGCAGACGAGACATTCTTCTCCTGAACAGTGGGACTGCTCGACGAGGAGGAGGAGGAGGAGGAGTTGTTGGTTCCTCAATCAGAGCAATGGCCCTCAGCTCACTGGGTGTTTGGCAATCAACGGAGCTGAGGGAGGAGGTTGAGCTCTGGTCTCGGTCTGCCATTTGAGCCTCCTTGCATTTGAGGGCAGCCATCTGGCTGCCAAGAAGCACCTTCTCCCAGAAGGAGTCGTCCTCCTCATCAAGACTTCCAGGGCTCTGGTGTCTGTCGATGACCTCAGTGTTGAAACGAGGAACATCTGAAAGAGGGGCGTTCCTCCTTCTTCGTTGGGGGGATCTGATACTTCTTTTTGGGAAAGGTGGTGGTCGCGGTGATGGCAGGGTGACGTCCTGAACGGGGAGTCCCAGTCTCCCCAGAACAGCGTCATTTCGGGCTTTCGTCGCAGCGCAGATTTTCTGCCTGGCGCACTAACGTAGCCCTCCCTGCCCTCTGGGAGTCCAGGATGCTGGACTCACTGGTCGAGCCATCAGGATTTTGATGTCCACTGTGGCTCCCAGTTTGCTGTGGAAATAAAGCACAACACTATTGAGTAACTTGGTAATCATTACAGTTGAGATGATCCACTTTGACTCAGTTATGAACAGAAGGAAGATCAGAGATGACAGTTTTTCCTCAATTGTTTCAGCACATTTCCTGAAACTGTAGCTCAACTTCTCAAAACTCTAAACACAAAACTATTCTTTTGAAAACTCAATAAATGTCTCGTAAAATGAAACACTGCACTTAAAACCACATTCCCGCTTCTCAAAACCAATTCTTTCCACCAAAACAAAGCAAAACTTGCAGAATAGTTGACACTGTCAGAGCTCTGAGAATACACAGATGTTACCTATTTTGACAAAACTCACAATAACTGAACTGATACTATAGGTAACATGAGAAACAGCACGGTAAAAATATGATTTAGAATTTCAATTGTAGTGAAAACAATTAGAGTTTAGCAGTCTGGAGTCTTTTTGATGAAACATTAGTGTCAAGTTTTCAGAGCTGGGAGAATATCTGTGTTTTTGTGTTCAAAAGAGTTGATTACTTACACCACCATCCTCGTTGTTCTTGTGGATCCACTTCCGAAATGGGAGGCAGATCTTCGACAAGTTGCAATTCTCCATTACTTTTTCAAAAAACAACTCAATTGTTCGAAAGACGAAACAACAGTGTGTGTGTGTACTCTTCTCTCAGTGAGATCAGTGTGAGACTGACAAGTGCAGGGGGTACTTGTAGAGATTCAGGCAATCAAAGAAATTCCGTGTTCCATTCTAAACTGTCCTGTTCCATTCTGTTCTGTGTGTGTGTGTGTGTGTGTGTGTGTGTGTGTGCGTGTGTGTGATTTACACATAATGCAACATAGATATGAGTTTTGCATTGTACATACTATATTTAATCTCAAAACATGGTTCAAGTTGAAGGACAGGAACAACCCTGATGCAGCTCACCTGCACACCTCACCCTCACTTCTGCATATTTTCAGCTCTTTTACATTAATTTCCACTTTCTCTTCAACTGATCCATCAGTATATCCCTCAGTATGTCATCTCCAATCATATTTTGACGACTCTTTACTATAACCAGATCTAAATAGCTTGAAAGGTAACTTTGGTATTTCTCAACCTGGACATTATTTTCCCATGTTTTTGTGTCTAAGTAACTAATGGAGACAAAACTAAGCACTCGAGGCATTTGTGCACAGTCAATGCACATCCAAGTAAAGCTTGTTTTGGTCACTGACAGGCTCAGATTGTTACTGTGTCTGACAACATGATAGAAAGGATCCCTACAGAAATAGAGCTTTGCATTAATGAGTAACATCCTTTTTGTTTAATCAGAAACAGCCCTGAACTCACCAAACACACCACGGGTAGTCCATTACTATGCAATGACACATCACTTATTGTACAACAGCAGCTCCAAAAAAAAGTTGGGATGCTGTGTAAAACATAAATAAAAACAGAATGCAAGGATTTTCAAAAACTGATGTTCAATGCTCAAAAAACACCTGTTAAAACATTTCACAGGTTAACTGGTTAACTGGTGGTGCAAGGTTCACTACTTTGTGAAAAACCGTGTGGGCAAATAGTCCAACAAAATGTTTCTCAGTGCACAATTACAGAATGCCCCTGTCCCAACTTTTATGGAATGTGTCCCAGGGATCAAATTCAGTGTGTTTATTTACAATAAACAATAAAGTTTATCAGTTTGAACATTAAATATCTGCTTTTTGGACTGTATTCAATTGAACATGGGTCAAAAATGATTTGCAAATCACTGCATTCTGTTTTTATTTACATTTTACACAGCCTCCCCACTTTTCTGGAATTGAGGTTGCCGCTGTAAGTTTAACTTTGAGGCAGCCTTTGGGCCTTGTACTATTTCCCAATTCAATCTCATGACAAATTTTCCTTGTTGCACTTTTAAAAACGTCATTATCTACACAGTGAAATGGAAACTTCATAAAACTAACAAACCAAAAAAACGATTATTTTGTTCAGATCCAGATCAGATTTGTCCTATCATGCTGCTGTATAAACAATAAGTAAACATTTTGATTATCATTTTGTCAGGATAACATTAAGACACAAGCGAGCATGTGTAAGAATGACCTACCAACACAATGTGTGCATTTGCAGTGTGTATTAAGTGGCAATAAAATATATTTCAGAGGACATGTCTGTACTATTAACCACATTTATGAGATGGTCGCACATTCCGTTGTAAATTTCATACCTGACAGAATGAGCTATACTGTACCTTTTTACTACAGTAACAGAGGTAGCAATAGTATTCTGTGGTGTTAACAAACACATAAGGGAATTCATTTTGTGGCTTTTCAACATACCTCTACTGGCATGGTCATAAAAGGTATTAAGGTGAAAGCCATGCCCTATTGCCTTTCTAAACTAATTATTATTTTGCTGAAAAAGTAACATGACCACTGTTCACTGAAGGTCAAAGTTTGGGACAATTTTCCCAACATACATATGGATAAAGAGAATTACACGCATACGGTATTTTACAGTCTTTTTATTACAGTGGCGCACACATAAAACCAACGGAGCGTTTCCCTGCGTCATCTGCGACCCTCAATGTAACAGTTTCCTACAACAAATACTCACAATGCAGGTATTTTCAGTTGTGTTAAGACAGGAACTGACATTTTAAAGTTTAGCCTGTCTTGTTCTTTGATAAATACTTTTCACATCAAGAGACCCTTCCCTTCTGACACCCTTTAAAGGGTTACAGCCATTGTTACACTGTTTGACAAAAACATGTCAGCTTGCTGTTAGGAGTATCTGCTGATATGCAGGTTGTTTTTATTTTGCTACCTGAGGTGTCAGTGCAGACATTTTTTCACAGCAGTACTTGAGAAGGAAGAAAACAGACTGAAATTCAAAATGTCCGTGTATCCCTGTCTTTGAGCCAATGATGTACCAAATATCAGAGGCATATGCAAGTACACAAGTAGCACACAAAGCTACTAAACCAGCCATCTCACTTTGATTTGGAAACTTCAGGTGTATAGTGAAGCCTAGCTGCTGAGTGCACCCTGACTAAAATTATCATGTTTCCATTCATCATTGTTGCAGGCAGTAGATGTTTCAGCTTGATTTGACAGGGGACATGTCCCCCGCACCTCCCGTATCTGTGCCCTCCGTCCCCTGCACTTTTTACAGCCGTTACAACCATAGATATCTATAAAAACACTAGATGAATTGTCCAACGTAGCTGCCCATTGAAGTGACATGCCTACATGGCCGCCATGTTGTGTCAGGGATTACGGTCCATCAGTGTATTATGCCCATGGTGATTTTATGGGCATATCTCATGCCCCATGTGTCGTAGACATATGAAATTTGGCACAGTGGCAGAGGGTAATGACAGCATAACCTTAATATACATATATGTATATCATATATGTATATATATATATATATATATACATATACAGGCAGGTATCAGGACAGGGACCTGACAGCAGCACCAATTATCATCCCAAGGCTTCACAGGTAAGGAGAAATTATAACTGGCTAAGGAAATGTCTACAGGATAAGAGTGACTCTAAGATTAATTTTCACAGCTATTTCAGAACTACTCTTATTTATACTCTAAAATGTTTTTTGTCTGTATTGCAATATCAATACTACTGCATTATTTGTGTTTTTAAAGGCAGCAGGTATAGGTCATGCTACATTGCATCCCCCTTGTTAAAAATTAACAATTCGACCACTGGGTCTATATAACAACAAAATAATATTCTGGCTCTAATCCCAAAATCAGCTGTATTGCATTAGATAACAACAAGTGGGAGAAATGACACGTACAGCTTCTGTTTTGGGTGCTAATGGAGCCGGATAGGCCCCAGCTCATTGACTTTGTAGGTTTTGCTGAGATGTGCCTACACAATCCTGTCCCCTTTCCTGACCAACCTTCAAACACAGCGATGTTGGCAACTGCTCCTCAGTAGTGGTTGAAACTGGGATCAAACACTTGGGCCCTATTTAGATGGTCTAAAGCGGATGGCGGAGGGCGCATAATCCATGTCGCAAGTGTCATTGCTATTTAGATGCAGACGCAGTTGTCATTTTCACGCCCTGCGCCCCCGTCGTCTAACTAGCAAATGAACTTGCGCTTCTCTGGGTGTGTTGGTCTAAAAATGAGGAGTGGTCAGGCGCAGTCATGGCGCGTTGCTAGTTAGATGACGTAAAAAGCAAATGCGCCAGTGACCAACAAAAACCTGGTCTAAAGTCAACGGCGCAGTATTTCGTTGTTAAACAAGTTAGTAATATGTGTCTCTAGGCAGATGCACAATGCGCGTGCACTCTGCTCAGACACACACGGAGCAGCCACACATATGCAAAAGATAACAAATAAAAATATTATTACAATATGAAAGGTTAGTATTGTGCACATTAAAATATTTATCAGAAACACGTCTTAATGGTCAGTCATTAATCAGAATGATCTAATCGCAATAATAATGATCATCATAATCCGGGAGGTCCAAGCTGCAGTGTCCGAATATACGGAACTGCGAGCAGACCTCCACGGGCTGATGATCCTGTAAAATGAACTTGTCTTTCCCAAATGAATTGTGATCATTTTGGCATGTAAATCACAAAATCAAAGATGTGAAAACGTTTGATAAACTTTATTTTGACATAAACACAACAATAACCAGCTTCTGTGAACTAAAAACGTAAACTTATAGCCCTACAAGAACAAATGTATATGTAAAAAAAAAAAAAAAAAAGCTTTTAGAACATAAAACTAAATATAATCTTGTCAGGAGGAGGAGGAGGAGGAGGAGGAGGATGATGACCCCAGCTCCGCAGCCAGACCAGACAGTGCAGCCACGGGACCAGCCCTTCCTGCACCTTCAGGCGGGGGGGTTCAGGATGCTGGAGAGGAAGCTGGGCTTTCTAACCTACCGGGTTAAAATAAAATAAATTGAATAGCCTAATTTACAATTTGTTGACAGCGTTTCTCTCGTGTGCGCGGCTCTGTCTTTTTCTCTCGCAGTCTCACTCTGTTTCTTAGCTCTCTGCCATGCGCTCCAATCACGCCTCTCTTAAAAGGAATGAGAGGTGACACTCTGATTGGCTTATGGAATGATACGCCCAAAACACACCCATGACTAATTCACAGAGTAAGTCTCTGCCATGGCACACAGTCTGAAAACGCGCTGTCTAACTAGCAAGTGACTGGGACACGCCCATGCGCTGCACACCTGGCGCTTTGCGTTTTAGACCATCTAAATAGGGCCCTTGGGCTTTATATTGGTTATCAGTGCTCAATGTAGGCCTGAAAAAAACACAACTACAGAGAGAAAATCTTCAATTTTAATGCGTCAAACCAAATTAACCTTTTCCCAGTGAAAGTCTGTCCACAACCACTTGGTGAACCTTTTCAACATTTGTTCCAAGTTTAGCTGAAATCTGAAAAAGATGGAACCACGAGTGAAGAGAAATTTAAGCGATACTGAAAACGTAAAAGCAGCTTATATATGCTCCAACTCACCTTAATTTATTCTGCACATAGAATATCAAACACCTTTTCAATCTGTGACTCCATTTTCTTTGGATCAGCATCTTTTGAATCAATCGAAGGGAGAAATGTCAAATTGAAATGGCATGGCAGTAAAGTAGAAAACTAATGTGATTAAACCAAAAAACAAGTAGGTCTCAATGCACCTTGTTGATTACAGGGATGATTGCACACTGAGCTTCAAAAGCCAGGTAGAAGTTGGCCGTCTGCGCTTGAATACCCTTTAGTTCATGGCAAAAATATTAATGACTGAATTACATGCAGCATGTTAAGCCACAATAACTCACTGAGAAAACTGGGAGCTATGAATTGGGTTTTGTACCTGATTGGCATCAACACTCAACAGGATACCTGAGCACACAGAAATTAATCAAGGCACTTCATAACTGAAGTCAACATAATTGATTTCGAAATCTATATTTTTTTTCCTAGTTTGTGTGAGAGAGCTGATGCTGTCAAGTTGAAATCTTAAATCCATTTTTTGTTTATGATTGGGTTTTCATTTATTGTGGCACAATTATGCAACACCTAAAATTGGCTGCAGTGCTGACAAGACACAGCAGCCGTAAATGATGAGGAAAGGAAGTTCTTCTTCTTCTGCCTGACATGATCACGCCCAGCTGAGCACTAACTGGCGTGTCGATGAGGTTCAGGAGGTGCTGCTGTCCCTCGTGGCTGTAAAACATCAAGGCTGTCTGGGCCTTCACCATTATCCAGCTCTCTCGTTCCACCTGACGCTTGTCCATCACCTGCTTTTGTTCTTCTCTGTCTTTGCTTTGGCACCTGTATGTCAGTGACATTCATTACTTACTTGAATTTTTTTTTCTTGAATACTGTGAATAGTGTGCATAACTGCTGATGATACATGTCTGGTATCTTCACATGAAATTTTTTGCATTTTTGAGAAGCAAATGAAGAGCTTTCATCTATTTCCAAATGTTTTCAGATGAGCAAACTCTCTCAGTATAGAAAAAATCACTTCATAATATTTTGTTAAAAAAACAAACAAAAAAAACAACAAAGTTAAAGCCAAAAATTTAAAAGATGACATCGAAACAACTCAGGTTCTTTACATAAAATTTCTAGGGGTCGTAGTAGATGAAAAACTAAAAATACCATATTGAGCTTGTCTGTAAAAAGACAGTGAAGTCAACTGGTATCTCATCTACATTATTGTTACTCAAAATACATCTGAAAAGGACTCTGATTTGCAAAGATTCTTAACACTTCAAGACTTCAAGTGGGTTTAGTGAATTCTGAGTTAGTTAACCTTGAGATGAGGGAAACTATGAGTTTTCTGTTTTAGAAAGAGAGGTAATTTAAACTCTAGGTCAGTAACTGTGGTAACTGACTCTGTGAACCTTTGTGAGTTTCTCTCTTACCCCTCACTCTGACAGAGCCAGACACACTGTGTTATTTCCTGATTGATTCAATCCGTATCAAAGCATGTATCGAAGTTCATTATTAAGTGGAGGTTTACTGTCAGAATCAAAATCCTCTTTGGATATTAGTTTGTTACGCAGGGCTATCTAAGTTGACTACTTTTAGTTTACTGCTATATCTTCAAACAGTGGTTTTCACCCTCACATTAAAAGATCACACAGCATCAAGTCACCCCTTATCTCTATACAGAGATCTTCGCATATGTGTCATCGTCAGACAATGGGTTTTGAGATTGAGTCACCACAGCTCAGAGTCAAACATCTGCATGCCCATCTTTTTGTGAGTGGAAGTTCTTTTTTTCTTTTTCTTTTTTTGATAAATGTGCGCAGTCAGCATATGCATGCATTACAACCTCTGTGTCCACTGGATTAAAATGGAGGCTCTGCCTTTTATTGACCTGTTGCCAGGGTGAATCGTAGTATATGAGCTCCATTGACGATGACTATTTTCATGTAACACTCACAAACTTAACGCAGACTCAACATACTCAGAGTTGACTAAACTGACTCTGATCAACTGTTCTGAAACCGAAAACTCAGCCTTTCCATCTCAGGGTTAGTCAGCTCAGAGGTCAGGATTAGACTCAGAGGTTGTTAACCCTGCTTTCTGAAACAGGCCTCTGGTATCATGTCTTTAGACTTCAGGTCGATCTTCTCAGTGCACGGCTGCTGTATGTGGTAACTCTTGGAGCTATTCAAGGGCATGTCAAAATATGATCCAGAAAAAAAACCTCAAAGCAGACAGGAGGGGAGAGTTATGGTAGGGAATGATGAAGAACCTTTAACTATGATGAAAGCCTTGGCCATTTCTTTGCAATAGGCCTTTTTTTTTTTTTACATTTTTACATAGTAGGAAAAGTGCAGATGTAAATACTTAAATTAACAATGGCTGCATTCCATTAAGCTTCTTTGTTTTCAGGGTCCTGGTATTGTGCATGCTTGCACACTGTCACACTCACTAGGACTTTTGAAAAGGGGTTCACCTGTGACTAGCACCTTTTGCATATTCAGTGAAAAGTCGGATTACTACCCTCCCACTGCCAACTCTTCCCAAAACAGCAGGACACATTTTTAAATAGCCATTTAATTGTCCAAATCAGTGGGGCAGATGAAAGTATTAATGCTTTTTTGTTTTGTTTTGGATAAACTATAATACAGAAATATATTTCCCCTAAAAGTCACGTGACTCTAGAAATGCTGCTTACATTTCTTCAAATAGTAGTATAACAGTAGAAAGCCCAAAATGATCATAGTACCCTGAAAGCCCCAAAGTCTGCTGATGGTAAAGACACACACCTGAGGGCACTTGTTAGCCTGTTCCAATGCTAGGAAGGACTCTTGCCTTGCCTCTGTAGGTTCCTTTTTTGATAGGACAGTCATTAACTTTGAGAAACACCCTAAACCTTGGGCATTTTCAGAGTTTGAACTCACACAACTTTCTTCTCCTGCACAGTTGCTTAGACGCTAAATAGCAGCCTCTGTGGTGCTCTCATTTTTGGGCTCCACTGGGTCTTAAACCCAGGACTTCTTGCACCCTAAACAAGAATCATACCCCTAGACCAATAAGCCAGCTGACATTGGGCAAGAGGCAGGGTACACACTGGACAGGTTGCCAGACTATCACAGGGTTGACACATTGAGACACACCACCATTCAGGCTCACATTCACACCTATGGACAATTTGGAGTCACCACTTAACCTAACCTGCATGTCCTTGGATTGTGGGAGGAAGCCCGCTGAAAACCCACGCTGACACGGGGAGAACATGCAGTCTCAGCGGAGGACAAAATAAAGGGGGCAGACACTGCACTGAGGCTCTTGCAGGTAGTGTGGCTGAGTGGTCTAAGGCGCTGGATTAAGGCTCCAATCTCTCAGGAGGCATGGGTTCAAATCCCACCACTGCCCTTTGACAAAGTATGACATCAGGTGAAGAGACTCATGTGGTAACCTCATGTTGTCCTAAAGTGCATGCACCTCTTATTGGTGTACTTAAGGGTAATAGACTTGTGTGAAGCAAAAGACAAGTGGATGTTTGGATGGCTCCGTGCTGACTCTACCAATTCCATCCATATTCACATTGCTATGGTTTAAGATGACAAAGCAGTCATTGCCACAAGTATCTTTAGTGACATAAGCATTCATTGTGGAGTGGAAAATATCGCCAAGGTCAATATCTGATTCTTCTCACTTTGAAAACACTTGTCATTCAAGCAATGTCAAATGTTGACCTTTGCTCTTAAGTCTGATTGTTTGAATGTATTTACATGGCAGCACTTCTTGCTTTTGAAGGAGCAATAATCATTGACAGCTGAGTACCTTGACTAGAGTTTGTGAAGCACCACTGAGCAGAGCGGGAGCGATACTGAAAAAAATGAGGTAGAGGGGCCAAGTGGGAGGATGCTTCTATCCTTTCCACCCACACTCAATTTGCCATGTCATCAAATGACTGAGGTTTCATTGCCACAGGTGTCTCATGTGGACACGTTCCAAGATTATTGGATGGAGTTGGGAATATCTCGATATAAAGCATCACCGCAAGGTCCACCAAATGCTTAACATTTCAGCCTGTACGCTGACTAATCTTGGTTGGCACGGGTTCCCAAAGATTCACACAAAATTGAACCTAGCGGGCGAGGCTCATAAACCAGATGTCTGTCCATGGAAACCACCCTCTGCTAGCTGTGTAAACTTTGGATCAAGAGGATGTCTCTTTACTTTCCTTCCATGCTGTCATTGCCCTGATGTCAGATGACTAAGCATCGATTAATGCTGAAATCTTGGTTCCCTCTAGTTCCCAAAGGTGCCCATAATATTGGGCCACAGATTTTTATACTGCTGACCTTGACATATTGAGCAGAGTGGCGCAGCGGAAGCGTGCTGGGCCCATAACCCAGAGGTCGATGGATCGAAACCATCCTCTGCTAAATCTAAATGCTTTGCATGAGAAGTATGTCCTTCTCCCTTCCATCCATGCTCACTTTGCCTTGTTTTCACTAGCTCCAAGTCTAAAGCTACTTAATGCCACTACATTACTATTTTCACAATACTCACATCCCAGGCAACTGATATCACTTACTAATACATCCAAATGTAACAGAAGGTTTTGTGGTAAACAACAGTAACAGATCAATTGTAAAGTCCACACTTCTTCTACTGTGTTTTCATTCACTATACAGTCTATATGAGTCTCACTCACCAAGTGAGACTTATACCCCTAGGCCAACGAGCCAAGCAAACTGAAACTGTCATACAATTGCCAGTATTTGGCATGAGTCTTTCGTGATTATGCCTTAGCGAAAAGAAAAGAAAAGAAAAGAAAAGAAAAGAAAAGAAAAGAAAAGAAAAGAAAACAAGAAAAAACAACAATTTTGACCTTCAAGAGAATTGGACCTGGTCAATTTTTGCAACAGAGTGTTAATGGCTTAACTGTAAAGTGCACACTTCTTCCACTGCACTGTTTCTCACTGGAGTGTTCCACATGCTTTTAATTTAGAATGATGCCATGGGCCACATTTAAAAACTAAAATGTAAAATGATTAAAAGAAACTAGAAAAAAACATGTCTTGCAAAAAATGGCACTGATCTACTCAGAGGCCAAAAAGGCAGGTACTTGAGCACCACCTGTAGTCTGCGTGTACACGTGCTTGCAACTAGGATTTTGTTTCCAACATGCAGTACTTAAACCTCTGCTAACTAATGCGCTTTGATATATGCACTTTGGTATGGGCTGAATCAATGAGAAAATGAAACAGCGTGTCTGGCTCTGTAAGAGGGAGGAGACGCTACATTGAGAGTATTTACACTGCTTACCTTTTTGTCAGACAGCTCTTTCCAACAGAAAAGTTCCCCATCTATGCTCTTGTTAAAGCCACCAGACTCCTTTGACAAAAACAGTAATTTAAGCTTGCTGAGCATGGGAGGTGCTGGTCTACTGCTGCCTCAATCAGTTAGTTAGTTTGTGTGATTATGTGACTTTGGAGAATTGGAACTAACCTTTTTTTTATGCCAATGTCATACAGTAACAGAAACAAACTAACTGATTGAGGCAGTGGTGGACCAGCTGCTTCTCTGTTTAACAGTGTTAAAGGAGAAGTCCGGTATTTTGCACTTTGAGCCCCATTTCTGGGTTGTTTATGATGAAATAGAGTGGTTAAGACCAAAATTTTGGCGATTGCTCCTTTTCGGAGAATTTGGCTTTCCCCTGCCTGGCTTAACACTGCTGCCTATGGCCATGTGTATATCTGTCCTAAAACCACCCTAAACATTTGTTTTCAAAGCCATGAAACTCACCGAGTGGTCAGTG